GGGGTGGGGGGGGGTGGGGGGATGGCCATGGCGCAATCCTTTCTCCTCTCCGGATTTTGGGCAAGGCATACTGACATGCCCGGCCTGAATTTCAAACCTCTGGGTCCTAACTCAACCGCCTTGACCACTGAGAGTCTACTCCTTAACCACTGTGCCACCTGCTAGACTATATTAGTCTTTTTAAAGTAGCGCCCTTCACAGAAACCTCAGGTAAAAACAAGCAGTTACAGATAGCAGCAGTACAACAACCTAGAGAGGTCACATTACTCAAATGAAAGGCTTCAGTTTTGCGTTATGTTGATTTGGGGGCAGGGGAGCAAGGGAGAGAAAAGGCCCTTGAAGACCCACTTACTAGTTTTTCCTCTTGGATTTTCCCGCTGTTACACTATTGACAGCGGAACCTTGTATTGCAGTGCACAAAAAGTAGAGCCAATAGTATTTTCCTCCAAGTTAAACCTGAACTATGAAAGAAAAGTGGCAAAATGAGACAAGGTTGGGGCCAGAGATGCAGAAGATAACGCGATTAGAACGTCCCCTTGTTTTCTGAACGCACTGGCTCTGCCGGTTCTCTGCCTTCTGATTCTTATCCCTGTGTGCACCGCCCGCAGGCCCAGCCCCGGCGTGGCTTCTTTCAGAGTCTCAGATGAGACCCTCCGAGACCAAGACCACACAGTCCCGAAAGCCCTCGCTTTACCGCTGGAGACCTCCGGGACCTTGCAGCCACCCAGCGGGGCGGAGTCTGGTCGGGATCCAGTCCCTCCCTGAGCCCCACCCCCTTACTGGGCTCCACCCCTCTCCTGGGCCACGCCCACGCCCCAACCCCGCCTCTTCCCTCCGCTCCCTTCGCCCCCTCCCGCCTCCAGTCCTTACGGCTCTTGGCGCCTGTGACGAAGCCGAAGCGTCGGGCGAGGGCGTCGCAGCCAATGAGAAGCCAGGGACTAAAGAAGTGACCAATGACTTGCTAGGATGGTTTGGGCGGCTGACCAATTATGAGGTCTAGCACCCGGAAATGGTTGCTAGCTCTGAAGCCTAGCTCGGCAGCAGTGAGTTGGGCTCCGCACGTGTGATAGCAACTGCACGCGGGAGGGGTCCGGCGTGGGTCGGATTTGAAGTCTCGCACGGGTGTGGCCGTGTAACTTTTAGATTTTGAGTAGGGGGGCCGTTTGTGGGAAGAATTCACACTGCTGCTCAGACCCTGTGTGTGTGGACTCCCTCTGATGGTGGCTTCCAGCGAGTAGCGTCTCCAGGAAGCCGCTCGCGCCGCGGGAGCATGAATCTCTTACCTAAGAGCTCCAAGGAGTTCGGCTCCGCAGACTACTGGGAGAAGTTCTTCCAGCAGCGGGGAAAAAGAGCGTTCGAGTGGTATGGCACCTATCTCGAGCTGTGCGGGGTGTTGCACAAGTATATCAAGCCCCGAGAGAAGGTAGGATCGCGGCCCGCAACGCTGTGTACCGGGGAGGAGTGATCTTGCTCTGTGGACAGCGTCGGGCTTGAGGACCTGTCGGACCCACAGTTTTAGGATCCCTGCATCGTTCTTGTTCTAAGGCAACTTTGCAATATCCTCGTGACGTTTTTCAGCTCACAGACCTCCTGCTTGCTCATCCTTGAATTAATAGCCTTGAAATAATACTTGGCAGAGCGAATTCTTAGTGGTCCTAGATATTGCCTCCTGGAAGGGTCTGTCACTGTGCATCCCCGTGGGAATGGCACACACGTGGCTTCTGTGACTTGCGAATGTATTTAGAATAGTTGCTAAGTGCTCAGTTCCTAGGCTGTAAGAGCTTTCAAACATAAACCCCGCACACTTTCCAGAAGTGAGAGATGATCAGTACTGCAGGAGGTTTAATAGAGGTGGGGTTGTACAGGGGTAGAGAAGGAAGAAGGGCAGACAACCATTTGTGGAGAAAAGCCGTAGAGGTCAAGTCCATGCTGGGTGAGAGTGCATGCAGGTGCAGTCTAAATTCTCTTCCTAAGCACAGGTAGGTGGTGGTGCACACACTTTACAGGTGATGGAACCCAGCCTTTCAGAGCCCGGTTTTGCCCAAGACCGTACATGTAGTAAATGACCACATGGGGACCTAAACTCGGGCCTGTCTGGCTCCAGTGCTTAAGCTCTTGTCATTGTACATACAGGCTTTTTCAGACATGGTGACACTGGAGCAGAATTGTGAAGGATGCATGGGAGATTGTGCCACAGAGATGGAGGCAATGAATGTTTTTAAATTCGGCCCCAGAAGATATCACAATAAATCAAAATAAATATCATGAGGCAGTGTCTGTGATAGGAGTAAGATTTGAGTCCTCACAAAATGCAGTTTGTTGTCTGGTAGTACCAAAGGCATGAGTGGATTGAAGAAATAGGTTAGGGCCAACAGGGGGTGTAGTGTTAAGATGCAGACTGTGGTTCGAGTCCCAGATCTGGGGGCTTGAAACTCAAGCTCCAGTGCATGTGTGTTCATGCCCCAAATCCTGAGCTGAGAGTGGAAGAGAAGGGATTATGACATAGCCATTCCCCGTGGAGGGGGGGGTGACGTCTCACTTTCTGTCTTTGTTTGCTTTGTGTCTCTCTCCCTCCAACAATAACAAAAATCTCTAAAAAGAGAAAGAAAGAAAGAAAAGGGAGAAAGAAGGAAATAGGGTTATGCTGCACTTAGTATTTCAACAGTAAAACAAGTAAAAGCACGTCTGTGACCACCGTGTTTGGATTCTGTGACTTCCTATTAATTCCCAAGGACAGAACACTGAGCAGGCTCTCTCTGCAGCACAAAGCCTGTCCTACGTGCACATAACTTGCAGTGGGTTCCTCTCTGTGGGGTTTCAAGATGGAGTCTGGATTCAGTGCTTCACCTTGCTCTCTCCTGGCAGTAGCATCTTCACCTTCTGAAAACATGCAGCAGACACAGTAAGGCTCGATTTCTCCCAGTGCATGAAGCACGTATTTTTGCCTCGCTCACCCCCATCTCGTTCTTGATCTTTCCCAGGTGCTGGTGATCGGGTGCGGCAATTCGGAGCTCAGCGAGCAGCTGTACGACGTGGGCTATCAGGACATAGTGAACATCGACATTAGTGAGGCCGTCATCAGGCAGATGAAGGAACGCAATGGCGGCCGCCGGCCACAGATGAGCTTCTTGAAGATGGACATGACGCAGATGGAGTTCCCCGATGCCTCATTCCAGGTGGTGTTGGACAAGGGCACCTTGGACGCTGTCCTGACAGATGAGGAGGACAAGACCCTGCAGCAGGTGGACAGGATGCTGGCTGAGGTTGGCCGTGTCCTGCAGGTGGGCGGTCGCTACCTCTGCATCTCCCTGGCTCAGGCTCACGTCCTGAAGAAAGCAGTGGGTCACTTCTCTCGGGAGGGGTGGATGGTGAGGGTGCACCAAGTGGCCAACAGCCAGGACCAGGTGTTGGAAGCAGAGCCTCGGTTCTCCCTGCCTGTCTTTGCCTTCATCATGACCAAGTTCAGGCCCGTCCCCAGCTCCGTCCTCCAGATCTTTGAGCTGTGTGCTCAGGAGCAGGGCAAGCCAGTGCGGCTGGGGCG